AAGACATAGTATGAACATCGGCAAAGATTTACTAGGTAGGAATGGGCCACGACCCTTGACAGAGTTATCGTCTAATGTATAAGAGGAGGGAAAATCTTTTCTGCTGCAGGACGAGGTACAGAAAACCACCCTGAGTGCTTGTATCACTTGCAGTGAAGTTATTAAAGAAAAATTCAGTTTCTAGTTTATTTGCTTTCGTTGATAGATCCGATCTAAATAATGCATCCTTGTTAAACTATGGCCTGTTTGAGCTGCATTATTTCAAAAAATATATTCTTAAACAGTGATTTGACATTATTTCAACCACGCATTCTTCAATAAAATAATATTACACGCAGATAAAAAAAATTTCCTTATTTTTTAACCACACATTTCCCATCAATACACTATTCAAGAATGCATTAGTACAAAAAAAATGTACCTCAAACACCCATATTAAATGTGCATAATCAGTGTTTTTATCATCAAACACGAAAATAAAAATATACTTCAATTAAGACTAATACATACCAAAGGAATTGGCTGGAACGTCGACTGGACAAAAATTTAGTTTGTTTTGGATCAGTCTAAAAGATACAAGCAATTTAGAGGCTAGAATTATACAACTTTAGGAACCTAGTCATTACAACAACCTTATAAGTAAAATAATAAAAATAAATAACTTAAAATGTGTCAAATGCAATTGTTCCCAGGAACAAAAGAACACAATAATAGAAGCATACGAGTTATGAATCTTGTAGAGTAACTTAGTACGCCATTCAATCTTATCGGTGAAAGCTTGTGTTTTTAACTCAAGTATACGGTCGTCATTATTATACAGGATTGAAAAGACAAGACTTTGATTTCATTTTTAATTAAAAGTATTGTCCATTTATAAATTAAACAAACAAAATACCGTATATAGTAAGAATTGGAATTCCGCTATTGTAGCGATTTTTATTTTTTATTTTTCGTTTTTAAGGCAATGGAAACCAATTCTAAAAATTATTGTAAAAAAATATTTTTCTTTCATCGATAATTTTCATGTGAAACAAAGTCAGACGAACACTAAAAAATAGATGATTTTCTTGAATAATTTATTATTATTATTATTATTTGCTTTTTGGCGATGGAAACCAATGTCATCCCGAATACCAGTAAATTATATCGTTTTAATTGATAATTTTAATGTAAAACAAAGTCAAACGAACATAAAAAAAAAAACACTTTTATTTCTACATTTTCCACGTGAAAAATTTTATCAATCAAACACAATAATTTACAATTCTCAGGAAAATAACTCTAGGCAATTCAATTCCTTAAAATTCGTTTTCCACCCAATTCAATTCTATCTTTGCAATCAAACGGATCCTTACAGAACTTTTACTCCTTCAGAAACCAAATTTCAATGCCAAACTTTATTTATATTACTATAGAAAATAAAATCTTTTTAAAGCATTGAAAATATTGTACTCACTGTAACACGGTCGTAGACTCATAGCACCTCTACCACACTTCAAGCCTGGAAAATGTTACTCGAGATGTCAACCAAGTTCTGGGCATTCGGAACGGCTTCTTCAAAAGAAGAGGCCAAGGTTGAAATATTATAGCTTACATTCAAACTGATGTTCTCAATAAGCTCCTAAGAGAAAATGAAAACAATGAAGACCTTTATTGATATCGTGAGACTCAAACCAACAATTGACATGAAAACTAAATAGAACAATCACCATACATACTTGAAAAAATAAAAAAATGAGAAACCATAAAACATACTAAAACGAACAGCACTGCAAAATTTAGTGTGTAAACTGTGATAATGTAGATTTGGCCGTATTAGACAATAATAACTATAATAAAGAACTAAAATATTTCATGCAACCTCCGACCGTTTCTTTTCCCTAAAACAAAAGGGTGAAAAATTTAAGTACAAATGAAAAAACTTTAGTGATAGCTGCCAAAGCAACCCATTGTGAAGCCTGTTGGGGAAGAAAAAACCAGCAGCAATTTTCAGAATATTGTGCATCTTTAAATTCATGATCAATTAGTGCAAAAGGCAAAAGAAATTAGATTGAAAATGTAACCAACAGACAGATCTTGAGTTCAGTAAGATCAAAATCAAAGACTTTCCCGTTGTACACAAAGGTCATTTTTTTCTATTTCAGCATTCTTCTTGAGAACATAACTGGGCTAAAAAATAGAGAAAATGTTTGATAAATTTTATAAGTTGCAAACACAAAGTAAAAATGATCAATATAAATATACATACCTCAATGGTGAGAAACAAGTCTGAATAGGTTTATTTGGACCCAAATCAGCAGATTAAATGACCGTCTTCAAAATCTCCGGATTACGCTTCAATACAAATACCTTGAACGTCTACACTTCAACAATAAAATAAACACATAATACAATAACATTATATAATTTGTTTAAAAGTTAAAACAACCGTACGTAGGCTCCTTAAATTTCATCCTGTAAAATAGAAACACAAGTGAAATTAGGAATAAGCAAAACATGATCAATGAATTTTGAAGAGACAAAACTGAAAAAACTCTTACACGTATATCATCGTCCACTGAGGCAGCTCTGTCTTTAGTTGAGTCTTCTTTGGAGCCATCATTGGTCTCGCTGCCTTCTGCATCATTAGCATCATCGTCTCCATCCTCAACTACAAACTCAACAGCCAAACTATGGAAGAAAAATTGGCAGAAGATCTAAGTGGGTACGTATTTCAGATTTTGCCTTTCTTCTTATGTTAGGTTTTCATTTGGTTGTGGAGAGAGAGAAAGAGAGGAGTTAATTCAAGGAAAACTCTCCTTGCACAGCACACTGTGCACAGGGTGTGAGACATGGGGGTAGACCCCACATGCACACCATGTGCACAGAGTGCTGTGCAAATAGCATAGCCCTTTAAATGGGCAATTAGATGGGCAGAGCTAATTGAGCAGTCCGTGTGGAGTGAGAGAGAGAAAAATGAGCCTTTATACTATAAATATTGATTGAATAGTAGGAAATTGGATAATGAACAGTAACTAGCCACTTAAGTGTCAAGACGAGTTACTCAAATATGAATAGTACTTTGTGATAGAGTCTTCTATTGTTCATCCCATTTATCCCAGTATCTTCACATTATTTTGATTAATCCTAATTAAAATAAAAGAGACACTTGTCGTGACACTGTTTCTATGAAGTCATGCCCAATTATTATTTGCCTTTTTTTTTAAACGTTATACTACTTTATTAACTTTCACACGCAACCATAATTTTCATTTCTATGTCTTCTCTCTTTCTTTTCTATTTTTTCACACAACTATCCACGCTCTTTACTCTACTTCCCCACACAACCAAGACTTCTTGTTTTTTCTTCTCTATTTTAAGGATTTTTCTAATCAAAAATTTATTGGTCCTTTTTTCATTGAATTTACAGTACAAAACGATATCGTTTTCCTACGTTAAATGGTAAAACGACGCCATTTTCTTCCATTAATATGATAAAAGGATTAAATATGTCTTAGATATAATTATAGAAAAATATTAATAATTTAATTAATAATAATTAAATCTAGATCAATATATGTTATATTCATTCACTACCTTAATGTTTGAGACGATTTTTTTTCAAAAATGGAAAAAAATTAAGATAATGACTAAAATCGATAACCCTAATTTTAAGGATTATCCTTTTCAATTGCATTTAGAAGGTATTCCATCTTGCAAAAATTCAAATATTAGAATATTGAACAAGAGATAATAGAATAAAACATAATCTCAATTAATTAAGCTAATCAGATTGTAACTATCATTTTACACCAATATACTAATAAAAAATCTAAATGATTTAACAAATTAAAGAAAAAAGAATTGCAGGCGCAAAAAAAAGGTATTATAAAGTTTTTTAATTAAATTGAATTAATTAAAATTAAAAATAAACATTATTTAATTAAAACTGAAAAAATCACGTTTTATCATAGAACAAAAAGAATTAAAAAGAATTTTAAATCGATAAAAAAAATTATTTATAATATGAATAAAAATAAATTATATATATATATATATATAACAAAAATCAAAAAATTAAAAAAAAAGTTACGAAAGTTAAATAAAGAATATATAAATATTATTGAAAAAAAATTGAAAAAAAATTATGTTTTAACATAAAGAGAAAAGAATCAAAAAGAATTTTAAATCGAAAAAATATTTATAATATGAACAAAACAAATTAAAAAATAAAAAAATTGAAAGAGTTTTTCTCCATCACACAGACAGAACGGAGAAAATTTTCTCCATATTCCTCTTCATAACTATGGAGCATGGAGAGATTCTCTCCGTGTGATGGAGAGAAACTCTCCATTTTTATTTATTTATTTATTTTAATTTGTTTTATTCATATTATAAATAATTTTTTGATTTAAAATTCTTTTTAATTTTTTTCTTTTTATGTTAAAACTTAATTTTTTCAATTTTAATTAAATAATATTTATATATTCTTTATTTAACTTTCATAAGTTTCTTTTATTCAATTTGTTTTGTTTTTATTAATAGTTTTTTTGAAAATTTTTCTTCATATTATAAATAATTTTTTGTTCGATTTAAAATTCTTTTTAATTTATGATAAAACATAATTTTTTTTCAATTGTATTTAAATAATATTTATTTTTAATTTCAATTATTTAAATTTAATTGAAAAACTTTATAATAACTTTATTTTTATTTTTTTTATTTTTGCCTGCGATTCTTTTTTTGTTCTTCAATTTGTTAAATCATTTATTTTTTATTAGTATATTGGTGTAAAATGATAGTTACAATCCGGTTCGCTTAATTTTTTGAGATTATGTTTTATTCCATTATCTTTTGTTTAATACTCTAATATTTAAATTTTTGTAAGATGGAATACCATCTAGATGCAGTTGAGAAGGATAATCCTTAAGATTAAAAAAAAAAATTTAGTTATTATCTTGATTTTTTTTAGTTTTTGAAAAAAATTCATCTCAAACACTAAGGTAACTAGTGAATATAATATGCATTGATCAAGATTTAATTATTAATATTTTTCTATAAATATATATAGGATTTAATCCTTTTATCATATTAATAGAATAAAATGGCGTTGTTTTGCTATTCATCATAAGGAAACGATATTGTTTTGTACTGTAAATTCAATGAAAAAATGACAAATAAATTTTTGATTAGAAAATCCTTAAAATAAAGAAGAAAAAACAAGAAGTCTTGGTTGTGTGGGGAAGTGGAGTAAAGAGCGTGAATAGTTGTGTGAAGAAATAGAAAAGACAGAGAAAAGAAAGAGAAATGAAAATGATGGTTGCGTGTGAAAGTCAATAAAGTAATATAAAGTTTAAAAACAAAGAAAAAAATGGTAAATAGTAACTGGGCACGACTCCATAGAAACAGTACCACAACAAATGTATCTTTTATTTTAGTTAGGATTAGTCAAAATAATGTTAATGCTACTGGGATAAATGGGATGAACAGTAGAAAATCAGTTTGGAAATAGTGTGAAAATGAGTGTGACAAAAATGAATAGTACTCATTCAAGTCCATCTTTTAAGAGAAAGTAGATTATTTAAAAACGAAAGATAATTATACAATATTAATTAGTAATTTAGAAACATTCAAAAATTTTAATAATAATGATTATTTTTAAAAAAAAAAGGTATGTGACCTAATTAGCATGAATATTAAAGCATTCGACCTAATTAGTATATTTTGATAAAAAAAATGATAAAAATGTATGGCTGAAAAGTTGATAAGAATTATGGATCCCATAAAATTTATAATTGAAAATAAAATAAAAAATTAGGATCGAAAAAATTACTATAATCCATTCAGAATCCTTGATAAAGGAACAACAGAATTAAAATAAGGGAAAATCCATAATTAAGAAGTTAAGAACGACCAATTTCAAAAATAAGAAGAAATGTTTCAAATTCCAAAAATCAGATATTTATTAAAAATTATCTATGATTCAATCAATTAATTATTTATTTTATTACTTAAATATAATAAGGTCACATCTCTATACAATTTTGTTATAAATTAACGATTTAGTTAGTCACATATTATTTTTCGATCACAAAGCATAATTTTTATGTCACAATTCAAAAACTTTATAGGTTAATTTGTTTATCGGTCACAAATCAAAAATTTATAAATCACAATTTATTTATCGACCACAAATCACAAATATTATAAGTCACAACTTATTATACAATCACAAATTATTAAATTATCTATTACAAATTAACAATTTTTTAGGTCACATATTATTTTTTGATAATAATTTAACTCTTTTATTGATCACATATTGTTTATTGCTCACAAATTAACCGATTTAATGATCAGAGTCAACCAAATAATTTGTGACCACCATCTCACAGTGCCTCTAGCACCACTACCATCACCATCACCACCTCCTGATAGCAACACTACCACCTCAAACAAATCAATCCATCGCAAAAAACACAACCACATCGTCGCGCCAGATCTGCCACCATGAAAAAAAATTTATTACTGTCGCCACGATCTGTGACGGCCACAAATCGGGACCCAGATTTCCTGGATCTTCCGTCATCCACCACAACCTGCACCACCTAGATTGTGACCATCAACAATATCACCATTACTATCGCCACAACCATCGTCCCTGCCGCAACCACAACACCACATCATTGCCACAACACCATCGAGATTAAGCAAATAAAACCACTCCGCCACCGTGTCACCGTCGCCGCCAACACCAACCAGTCACCACAACCACAACAACATTGTTACGCACCACAACACCACCACAGGTTAATCAAATAAAACCACTCTACCATGACATTGTCGCCACCTCCAACCCCAACCAGTTCACCACAATGACACTACTATCACTCCATCAACACCACCAAAAACAACAACCAAACCTATTTTCTAAAGCGTCTAGGAAGATGAAAGCACCAAGCTAAATATGGACCCTCCCAAGACCTAATTCCCAAGTTAAATCTAGACCTAATTTTTAGTGCACCTAGGAAGATGAAAATCGATCAGCCTTTGATGGCAGCGTAACGCTGTTGCTGCGTTCAACGTCACTTCGCCAATGTGAAAATCGGGAGAGGGGAAAAGATCACCGTCAATTGAGAATGAAAATCGAGAAAAGGGGAGGAAAAGAGAGTCGTCGCCAGTGAAAAAAAAGTTGAGAGAGGAGGCTGCGTGGCATGCTTCTCCGCTTCTTCGAACTTTGGTGGTATCGTGGTACAGCAAACAATGGTGGGATTAGAGAGGGGTGACGGGCTAGCGACGGGACACTGCTTCACTCCGACGATTTTGAGTGGTTTCATTCCAGCGATTAGTTGACGGGGGAGAGGTGGTAGATGTAAAACCAATTATTTTGTGGGCCATGTAATATTAAAAAATTAATTAAAAGTGGTTAATATTACTAAAATCCTATTGGCCTAATTGAGTAGTGGTTATAACTGTCTACTTTGATGGAAAGTGGAAAGTTTTATGGCCCATAGAAAATTGCCTCTCTTTTCCTATAAATGTGAATGAAACCCATCAATTAATTCATTCAATTACAGAGAGGAAAAGTGAGAGAACAGATTCTTTAATTTAACAGTTTCTTATTTTTCATATTTAAAATTCTCTATTATTGTCATGGATCAAGGTATGTTTTTTTTATCAATTAACTTCATATGTGAAAATCATGATTTCTAAAGATCTTAACACTGGGGTTTAATTTCTTACATGTGGTATCAGAGCCATGTTAAAGAATTCTTGATTTTCCTTTAAAGATTAATGTTTTCCACTTATTGACCATTTATTATTTATTATAATTTATAGATCAAAGTTTTTTTGAAATTAATGAAACTAATTATTGTTAAAAATTCACGATTGCATTTTCTGGTTCGTGG